CTTTTGAACTGTGCACTGATAACAAGCTGAGTGGTCTTTAGCTCAGAGGACACAGTGTCCATGATTTCCAAAAAGAAATGTAAATGTTGATTTGTTGGACCACAAGACACTTTTCCACTTCCCCTCAGTCCATTTTAAAAGAGCTCGGGCCCAGAGAAGGTGGCAGCGTTCCTGGATCTTTGAGTTTTAGAGTTTCAACTTGCATTGGTGGATGTAGCGACAAACTGTTTTCATAGACAGTGGTTTTCAGAAGTGTTTCTGAGCCCATGCAGTGATTTCCATGTTATGTCTGTTTTTAATGCAGTGCCATCTGAGGGCCCAAAAATCATGGCTAGCAAATACTGGTTTTCGGCCTTGTCGCTTGCAGAGATTTCTCCAGATTCTCTGAATCTTTTAATGATATTATGTACCATTGATGATGAAAAGCAAAAGTTCTTTGCTACTTTACGTTTAGAAATGTTGATCACGCCGTCTTTCACAGAGTGGTGAACCCCTCCTCATCTTTACTTCTGAAAGACTCAGCCTCTCTGGGATGCACCCAATCATGTTACTGACCTGTTGCCAATTCACCACCAGCTGTTTTTTTAAGCATTACACAACTTTACCAGCCTTGTATTGACCCCGTCCCAACTTTTTTGGAACGTGTTGTTGGCATCAAATTCAAAATGGGCCAATACTTAAAATTCTCAGTTTCAACACTTAATTTGTTGTTTTTGAAGCATTTTTTAATGAAATATAGGGTTTAAATGATTTGTACATCATTGCATTTTGTTTTTATTTACATTTTTCACAGTGTCCCAACTTTTTTGGAAATGGGGTTGTAGTTACTTAACAAGCAGTGATGGTGATTCTTTGAACTCAAACTCAAACTCAAGCCTGGTGCTTCAGCTTTGTTATTTTCTTGAATGTGGCTTTCACATGAGAAGCTAAAGACAAAATATGTGTTTTTGGTTACTGAGATAAAGGTTTTATTGGGGTGTAGGCAAAGCAGAATAGCTAATCTGCAGAAAAAAAAAAATGAAGCAATATAGCAGTGCAATAATGTGTGTGTGAATGTGTAAAAGTCACTTTTGGCATGCTTAAAATGCCCACAATGAACCCCACCAATTGCTGAATAAATACGTTAAGTGCAGCTAATAGCTTGTGCTAATTTTTCCACCCTTTCTTCTGACAGAGAGGTAAAAGTCTCAGTGAGGTTCCTGTACAGCTGACAGATCTCTCCTGCTGAGAGTTTTTGTTCTTAAGGCACTTGCAGATGAATCAGAGATTCAGAACATTTTTATGTTGAGTCATTCTCTGACTCTCACTTCAGTGAAGCGTTAGCATCACATGCTAAAATCCTGCTTGATATAAGCTCTCAGCAACATTTTCTGTTGACTCCAGCCTTTATTTTGGTTAGTGAATTATAGCTAGCACAGAGCATTTGTCTCCATTTTGTATTTTTGTCTCAAGTAGCTGCCCATGTCACTTCAGCTTATTCTCCTTGATAATGAACATGTCACCAAAATCACACTCTTACGGAAGGTGATAATGTAGCACATCAAATCAGTGTGATAACATGACTAGTGTTAGCTTGTTAGCGAGTAAACGGCACGCTAGTGCAGTTAGCGCTGTAGCCTACTTCATGATATATTTAGAGCTGTTAGCTTATGTTTTTCAAACTTCAGCCAGATAATGAATTATGGTCTTTAGACCTTTGAATTGCTGTCGACACTGTTAGCCCAACAACCTCACACATACACACATACACTGATCAGGCATAACATTATGACCACCTCCTTGCTTCTACGCTCATTATCTATTTTATCTGCTCCACTTACTATATTAGTTGCACTTTGTAGTTCTATAATTACAGACTGTTGTCCATCTGTTTCTTCGCATATTTTGTTAGCCCCCTTTTACCCTGTTCTTCAGTGGTCAGGACCCCAATGGACCCTCACAGAACAGATACTATTTGGGTGGTGGATCATTCTTAGCACTTCAGTAACACTGATGTGGTGGTAGTGTGTTAGTGTGTGTTGCGCTGGTACGAGTGGATCAGACACAGCAGTGCTGCTGGAGTTTTTAAACACTGTGTCCACTCACTGTTCACTCTATTAGACACTCCTACCTTGTTGGCCCACCTTGTAGATGTGAAGCCAGAGACGATAGCTCATCTCTTGATGTACAGTATGAGCTAATCATCCTCTAGTCCTTCATCAGTGGTCACAGGATGCTGCGAACAGGACGCTGTTGACTGGATATTTTTGGTTAATGGACTATTCTCAGTCCAGCAGTGACACTGAGGTGTTTAAAAACTCCAGCAGCACTGCTGTGTCTGATCCACTCGTACCAGCACAACACACACTAACACACCACCACCACGTCAGTGTTACTGCAGTGCCGAGAATGATCCACCACCCAAACAGTACCTGCTCTGTGAGGGTCCATGGGGGTCCTGACCACTGAAGAACAGGGTAAAAGGGGGCTAACAAAGTATGCAGAGAAACAGATGGACAACAGTCTGTAATTGTAGAACTACAAAGTGCACCTATATAGTAATTGGAGCTGATAAAATGGACAATGAGCGTAGAAACAAGGAGGTGGTCATAATATTATATTTACACATATAATATTATACCAATACATATACATGTATATATCATTTAGTAATGTCATAACAAGCAAAATGGTTGCTAAAATGAATGAGTTAATGTAATTCGTGAAGCACATGTCCCACACCTGCGACTTCTAACAATGCATAAAATGTTATTGAATTAATCTTTGAAATGTAATCTACGTTGTTTAAATGTTAAATCAAAGCATTTTAAACAATTCTGTTGTTGATGTAATACTTTCAATGAAAACATAAATTAGTCCAAGACAAATGTGTGGGGACCCTAAACTATGGGTCCGTGGATTCACAGTCGAGCAAACTAAACATCATCTTGTTACATTAAATACTTTCTGCCTGTCCTTACCATACATGTATTTGGAATTGGACTTTAAAACAACCTAATATTCACACTGAATTCAGATATATTAGAAACTTGCCAAAGCTACCAAAGTTTTAAAAAACTAATGTAACACAGTCATGCTGGTTGACCATCACACCAGCATCCAAAACAGAACATATGCTGATTTTGCTGGTGACCAGCAATTCTGTTTTTTTTTTCTAGCAGGGGTGCCTCAACTTGTCCTCACAACAGGAATTTAGAGTAAATACAAATGCAGTTCAGATGAAAATTTGTAATTTTGTATAACTCTGATATTTGAAAAGTATCATAAATAAAGTTGATGTCCTGATAGTTTAAAGAAAACAGGTTTGTTCCAGGTTTCTCTATTTAAAATTGTTGTTAAAATTGAAAGAAGTAGCATTACTGAGTCAGGAGAAGAAAAAAAAAAAACATGCTAAAAGGTGATATGTGTGTGTGTGTGTGTGTGTGTGTGTGTGTGTGTGTGTGTGTGTGTGTATATATATGTGTGTGTGTGTGTGTGTGCTGCTCTGAGTTGCCCTGTAAAGCCTGAAATGCTAATTTAAAAGATATTGGTTGGATTTCATAGGAGTCTGGCTCAATGTTTAAGTCTCAAATGCAAAATCAACATTATACTGATAAAGAAATGATGAGAATTGTAGATAATTCACTTACAACCTCGGAAGACACGTCCAAGTTTTGACTTAGTTTTCTTTGAAAACTCTTTTGGCATGCTTGCAATCATCAGATTCATCCTGACCACTGAAGAACAGGGTAAAAGGGGGCTAACAAAGTATGCAGAGAAACAGATGGAAGGGGTATGAAGAACAACTGACATTCCAAACTTGTTTTTTCACACAGTGTGTGCAATGACATGTTCCTACCAGAGAGATCTCCACACTTAGATAGTGTAGCTTTAACACATTGATTAGCTAAACAAGGTGTTAAATGCAACAAGGGGTTTGAATATGGTTAAACGGAAACATTCACAAACATAAAATGACTATTAATTGTATTACAGTTATTTGTATTTATTATAATATTAGTGTTCTTTTGTGCAAATAAACATTTACTGCTCAAATAAATGGCTTTTGAAATCGAATTCTCCCAGGTGCCAAAGACTTTTGCAGAGCACTGTGTGTAGTATATAAGTAGTATATTGGGTGTATTAGGTTTATTTGGAGCACTACCTTACATTTTACCCAGCAGGGGTATTGAACCTTTGCTCTATATAACCTTTTAAAAACTACACTTGAAGTCAAGAGCACAAACAGGTCTGAACAAATACAAAGCAGACTTTCTTGGAGCTATGCCTGCTGGTTCAGGGATAATGACTGCCAAAAACTGTAGTTATTTATATCGTCACAACAGACACAGTGAAATCCTTTTGCACACACACAAGTGAAAAATGTAGAAGTCATTTTTGTGTCCTTCTAAACACACACTGTATAGTCAGTAAATCCTGACCTGACTTTAAAGGCCAAGTCAATTTTGTATTGTATGCTGAGAAGAGAAGACTTAAAAGGAGTTAAATTTTATTAACATCTCAATGTTCTTTGCTGACAGGATGTAGGACAGGTTGTAGAGAATCCTGCAGAGAAAAGCTTAGACTGTGTATTCTTACCATGTATTCTTAATGAAAAAAATGCAGTAAATCAGTCACTGTGTTTCAGTGGTTCCAGACTCGTGACTTGAATGCTGATGATGTATTTAGTTAAACAGCAAAATGATGATCTCTATTTTTCTCTGTCTGTCTTGCTCTATTTTAGACTGTCTGGAGCGCCTCCAAGCCCCAAAGCAGGCTATGGGCCCACCAGTGGTGTTGGAACGGCTGGTGGCCTGGGCATGGGTGGCATGGGGGGCATGGGAGGCGTATCAGGACGCGGAGACCCTTACAGACTGGCCACCCATGAAAGCCCCAGACCTTCACCGACCCCTCAATCACAGACTCAAGCATCCGGCCACGGCATTGGAAATGACCAAGGTCCCGGTCAGCATGCCTCTAGACGGAACCTTCAGGTGGACTTCAGCAGCAGCAGTGCAGGACGATCGGGTCGATCCCCATCAGTGTCTCCTGACCGGGGCAGTGCACCTAGCTCACCCTACTCTGTCCCCCAGATAGCCCCCATGCCCAGCAGTAAGCTGTGCCCAATCTGCAACACCACAGAATTGACCAGTGCTGATGGAGCACCCAACTTTAACAAGTGCACCCAGTGTCGCACTACCGTCTGCAATCAGTGCGGCTTCAACCCCAACCCACACCTCACAGAGGTTAGTAGCTATTTCACATTGTTTTGTGCAGTGGGCTACAAAATCATTTAAAATAGCTTCAACTTACATATAAAAATTTGAACTGGTGGTTTTCTGTAGCTAGGCCAATTACATGGATGAACATTAGGTTGCTCCCCAGTGCAGTCATTCATTAAATCTTTTTCCACTGTGCCCTTGAACAAGGATTTTTTTTCTTGTCTGTGCTCTGCAGAATGAAACAGCCTTACTGCCCTTTCACGTTTCAGTTAGAGTCTCATAGCATTATGGGCAAGGTTTAAGACAAGTGCCAACTTAGTGTATTGAAGTCAGGTCTAGCTTAGTCACATGTCTCGAGCTTAACGCCTCCAAGTCTCATTAGGAAAAGGTTTTCTGTCAAATTTAGGATTACATTAACTGAAATTTAAAGGCTCTGGTTGTACATCAGGATGTTTGTAACTGTATCTGCACCTGCAAATCATATGATCAATAATTTAAGTCAAGTCCATTTTATGGCTTGAGATCAAGTCACATGACTTAAGTCCACATGACTGGTTGTAAAAATGGCATGAAATGCACTGCACGTTTGTTTGAGGATGATGCTGACATTATAGTTGAGTCTCATTGCTTCATTTAGTGAGTGCAAATAATACCTTGATCTTAGTAGTATTTCCATGTCTCTCTCTCTCTCTCTCTCTCTCTCTCACTCAGTCACACACAGTCTGTAGTAGTGCTTTGTCTCTTTGAAGCCAGCTTGTCTCGTCGCACTCCTCTCTCTGTCTCTCTGGCGATGTTTTGACAAGTGTGATTGGCAGCAGTGATGTTGATGCAGTTACATGAGAGGGAAGAGTGTGTGTGTGTCTGTGTATGGGTGTGTGTGTAAACTGGAGTTTTTAAGATACAAGGTAGGTGTACTCAATGAAGTGGCCAGTTAGCCTATATATATATATATATATATATATATATATATATATATATATATATATATATCCTTTACATTGTGTTTCATGATAAATGGACCATTAGAAATGCTCTGAAATCTCTTGAAACAAAATCTCTTTACATTAGCTTACAGTGAAAGGTAGGAGTCTTTTTGCCTTTTCCTCTAAAGTTATCATTTTGGAGATACTTTTTTTCTTTGGAGCGACGATATATATAGTAGGGTGCAAAAATCAGACCTCATTGAAAATCTGGGAATTTTTTTCATTTAAACTTGAAAATAAAAATCAACAACAGAACATTTTAGAATTTTGAAACATTTAAAATTGAGACTTTTAAAATTAAACTTTTTAAAAAGGTTATGACAAGTAAAATGAAGATGAAATATTCAAGATTCTGCACTATTTCACTACTCAAATTTAAGGCAATTTGTGAGACTGAATGTGTTGAAGGCTTTGTACAAAAAAGGTCTTCTCTTCCAGTAAAGCACATGCTCAGACTCTCAGTAGCATATTGTAATGTTCAGCTTTTTAAAAACTTTTACTTTTATGATAAAAAACATGAAAAAAAACACAAATCTTCATGATGAGTCTTGATAAATATTGTTCGGATTCTTGGCCAATGGTGTTACTATTGGAGATTGAGAAGATGACCAAAAACACATTCTATTTGAACATATTTAACTGTATAAAATATCAGTTACGCTTTACCCTGTGTTAGGTTGTGCTCTGCTCTCCCTTAATGTCATTGTCTATGGTTGTGTACGTCTTCATGGTAGTGTGTGCACGCTGGTGTGTGCTGAAGTGTGAGTGTGGGGGGTGTTCAGGAAGCAGGAGTAATGTCTCTCAAGGCTGTGACAGAATTTCCATTAGTCTGTTCAGACTTGGCGGTGCGCTCAGGTGTGAAGTGAAGAAACGCCGAGGGGGAGGATGAGAGGATGGAGCGGGGCCGTATCGACATTTAATGAGGATGGCGAGAGAGTAAGCGTGAGAAGAGAGAGATTCGTGGGGCAGAGGGATGAAAGACGACAAAAAGTGAGTAAGGGAGAAAGAGAAGAGAGTAAAAGGGAAACGAGAGGAAGTGGAGAGAGGAGATAGGGAACGAGAAGGAAGTGGGCCAAGGAGAGTGGCTTTGAGACAGTGGGGGTCAAGTTGTTCGCCCTCAGGCCAAACTCATTCTTAAGAGGCCAAGTCCGCTGAGCACGTCCAAGGGCTTATTTATTTATAAATGTAGTTGTTTATTTACTTGTTTTGTCTGTGGTTATCTGTCCTGGTAGGTCAGCTGGGAATTATCTGTGGAGATGGAATCAATGCAGGGAGGGACAGACACAGCAAGAAGTGCAAGCTTTAAAAGAACATCCACTTTATAGTCTCAGTCTACAACATGTTTTATAGGGCTTATGAACATGTAGTCCAGCTTCTTACTTGTTAAAACGTGTAAAATGGGAATTTACTATTTAGCTGTTAGTCATAAGTCTTAATATTCAGTAGCTATATGACTCAGTAACAACTAATTTAATATTAATTTGCAGTACTGTGCAAAAGTCAGAGACTACTAGGCTGGTGGTGATTAAAATAATAAGCGTGATATTTTCTAGTTAAAAAAATGGGATTATCGATAATATGACCCCCTCACAAACTAAATAAATACACACGGTCTGCTGCATCTTTGACCCAATTTCTCGTCCGTTTTTAGTGTATATGCTTTAGTAAAACCACATATAAACTAAAATGGACTATTGAAGCACATGCCTGCACACTTCTTAACGCAAAACTCTGTTTCCCAACATATTTACAAGCCACTTAACAGTAAATTAGTCCTCTCTAATTCTCTCTCGGTTCTCGTTTCCAAAAGACGATTATTGTCTTTCATGTATCGCCATCGTGTTAGTTCTCCATCATGGACGATATCCGAATATATCACCCTATTGCCCAGGCCTACAGACCACCCATCAATTATTTAATATCCAGTCCAAACAGAAATTAAGTGCAATTGACTAATTTTTCATTGTCATGAAAAAAAAGCATATTTTTTTCAGTGTTTAGTGTGCCCACCCTTCACCCTTATTAAAGTTTCCGTTCTTTCCAGGAGTCTTGCTTTCAATTTATTAAAGAAATTTGCAAGGATATTTTCCCACACCTCCAAAGCTCAGTCTTAAAAGTTGGTTGCACTTTCTTATTCTCACAATCAAGTAATCCCAAATGCATTCAGTGCATTGAGGTTTGGACTCTGAGGTGGTCAGTCTATTGTTCTGAGAACACCAGCACCTTCTTTGTTTGATTTGTTTGAATTTTCCTTTCGCTTTTCTCAGTAATGGCTTCTTGACACCTACACATATTTACAGACTCAGAGTGTTGAGTTTTATTCTCACAGTTGAAGGATGGAAAGAAACACCTGTAGATTTTTTCAGATCTGAAGCAAGAGTGGAGCTTGATTTTTCACATATTTCTCAAAGATAAAAGCTTTAAGCCCTGTTTTTCATGACATTTTAGTGGTCTACCAGGTCTTGCACTGTTAGGAGTTCCATTTTCTCTCATTTCTTTTCATAGATTTTAAACTCCAGTTTTGGAAACTCCTGTTTTTTTCATTTTACTTTGTCTTTAGAAACACCTCCCGAAAAATAAGTAGCTTGTACTTAATGGCTGTTTTGACTGGAAATGAAATAAATGAAGGTCAGGCTCTGACGTTTGCACATTTATGTACTATGAGAGTAGGAGAGTAAAATATGAGCCCATATTTGAACTGCTGCGGTTTAAGGGTTTAAGTACAGTGGGTGCATTAAATGTTGTGAAATTTAGGCCTAGGTACTATGACTCTGGAGCGATGCCATAGAAGAAACACTCTTGGTTCCCTGAAGTATTTCAGTGAATGGCTCTTCAAAGGGAAATTCCATAGATTTTTTAACCCAATCATTGAGATGTAAACAGTTGTTTAGAGTGGTTCAACGAGAGATGCTTCATTCTAGAGAAACTTACAGAGTCAGAATTGTTCACAAATGTAGTGATGGGAACCAGATAGCTGAAGATTTTAATTCCTCTAAAAGCTACATCACAGACAGTTCTTATGTGAAGTGTTTAGGAATATGTTGTCTGAGACATTTTTCATGATAGTTTTGAGATAAAGTGTGCCCCAAAACATTTTGGCAAAACTATACGCAAAGATTTTTTATCACTTTTTTACTGTTCAAATAAACATTACATATAAAAAATCTCATGTGCAGGTTTATTTGTCATTTTGATTAGTAAATAAAGTGTCTGTTTTTGTGTTGTAGACATGATGACTCCTGATTCCCATCAGCACCACTGATATAATTTCTCTACAACAAACCATTTCGTGTCAAACCACTCTGAATGACTTTAACTTGCATCTTAACGATTCAATTATGCGGAAATGCTGAACAATCGGTGAATTGTGTTTTTTTAGTACTTACCTCAGTCATTCTGTTCATTTCTCAAGGCCTCTCCTGGTCTGATTTATGCATACCCCATAAAGAGTAATGAAGCACCATCTTGATTAACTTTATTTGCACAATCATTAACATTTATGCAAGGGATTTACATTTATTAAAATCAAGTGGCATCTTAATGAGATTGAAATGAAAGATGATAATGACATTATTGCGGTAAAGACATCTGGTAATGGAGAGATTGATGCTTTAACACTAGATCTTAACTCCTGTGTAAGTGTAGTTATGTCTTTACCATGCGAAGGTCTCCTGCTCCTCCACTGATCAGCTCCAACAGTGGCTGTTAAAACAGTGTAGTACTACTGAGCTGAATGCAAAACAGCATGTTTCTTATGATTATGTCTGGTAAACTTCAAGCTTCTTCAAGAGACCCCCCCCCCACCCCTTATTTCAAATTGACATGATTTTTCATTTACCCCAAACACAGTGGATCAGCCAGTTTGGTGTCTAAATTTTGCTTGTTTAGTTTAGATCTGTATCTGCTAGGCTAACAGTGCTAACAAAGACTGGAAGTAAAGTGTCACCAAAACTGTTTTCACAAATGCATTACAAAATCTTAATGTACTTGTTTCAAATGAACTTTTCTCCATCTTTGATGTGCTCATATACTGTCATGCCA